CTGAGCCTGCGCGTCCGGAGCCTGTGCTCCGCAACGGGAGAGGTCACAGCAGTGAGAGGCCTGCGTACCACGAAAAAAAAAAACAAAACAAACTGAGCTTGCTCAGCAGAAGCAGCTGCAAGATGTGTACCCTAGCCAGCCCTGGCCTGGTGGCAGCCCCATTCCCTCCTCCAGAAAATGTCAAGAGGAGTCACTGCACGGTGACTTCTTGGGTTAGGGTTGGGGGCACACTCTGATGCCTTCAGAGGTTAAGTGGGCAGCAAGGGCGGCAGGCCAGGCAGCGGGCCCCTGTGTCCTGTTTCCAGGCATGGCCGTCACTCCACAGCTCAGTGTAAACTCCCCTCCCCCTCTACAGTGACTCCATTTCTTAACTTCTCAGATAAGCTGGCTATTCTAGGTTTTAACATGAAATCTCCAAATTTTGAAATACTGTCAACCAAATAAGGTATTTAAAAAACACCACATGGCCCTAACAGGCACCCCCATGGTCTGGTTTTGCTCAGGGACCACCTGTCAGTGACCCCTGGCGTGACAGGGGCAGGGGGTAACATCCAGCCTCTTCCCTGGGAAGAGCTTTTTATGGAAATTACCATCTTTCTGCTTCCCAAGGTGATTCTGAAGGTGAGCTGTCTCTGCTTGTTGAAAATGCAAAGGAATAAATGTGTAAAAATAGAGTAGCAATTCCTCAAACCCACTGTCAGGTTTAAGTAGCTGATGTTTCCCTTGGGAGCAGCAAGGATGGCCCTGAATTATCTCCAGACAGCGCAGCAGAAGGATGAGCTCTGCACTGGTGCTCTCCCTGGAGTGGCCCTGGGCAGCGCCTGCTGTGTGCATGTGTGTGCGTGTGTGTGGAGTGTGTGTGTGCCTGTGCATACTGGGGGAACATGGGGGACTACAGGGCTGGGACGGGGGCACAAGGACCCCAGGAGGTAAGGAATGCCAGCAGACGCCCAGCCCTGGCACTAGCCCATTCCTCTTTTCTGTGCAGCCCTTCCCCCTCTGCTGCTCCTTCACCTCCACTTTTCCTTCCATAGCCAGGTTACAGGTTTGTGCCTGAAACCTAACAGACAGCAGGTGTAAATAAGAGAGCTTCTGGCTGGCTGGGGAGCTCTCTCAGTCTTCCGGTCTGTACAATGGAGGCACATCAAAGAGGCCTGTTGTCAGCACTGGAATGAGAAGACATACTTGGAGGGCCTGGCTGCCTCACTGTGCCTCCAGAGGAGGCCGTGGAAAAGAGCTTAGGGGACAAGTGAGAAGAATTGTTCTGGAAAACTCTTTGGTGATGTCATGATAACCTGAGGTCCTAGGTCCTTCCCAGGGCAAGAGTCTCTGAGACACACCTGTTACTCCCCCTGCCAGGAGTGCCAAGGAGGGACAGGACCCTGGGGTCAAGGACCTGGCGTGGACACAGAGACCAGCGCAGGGTTGTGAGGGGCTTCCAGAGGCTTTGGCACTGGGACTAATTGGACAGTGTGGTCTGTGGCTGCCAGCGATGCTGAAGGTCGGCCTGGCCAGCTCAGCTGCAATCCTGAGAGGGAGGGGCCAGGATTGGTCCATGGTGGGCTCCAGGCCCAGTGGGAAAGTAGAAGGGGATTGAGACAGATGGTGCAGCCCTGCAGATGGTGCAATGACATCCTGGGGTCCTGGGCCCGATGCGATCCAGCCCCTGGCCCCCTCAGCTGTGGCCCCTAAGACCCCATGCCCGAGATGGTCTGCCCTGCTCTGAGCCAGGTGTTTAGCCTGTGGGGGGCGGAGTGAGGCCCTGCCAGGCAGACTGTGGGGGAGATGTCATAAGAGGGGCTCATCCTGATTCCTGCATGATTCAGTCAGGCAACCTTTCATCTCTTTGGCACTTGGCATCAGGAGCAGGCACAGTTCTGGGGTTGGGGGTCACCCATGGCCTGGCCCCAACCCAGGAGTTGAGTGGGCGGGCCTGGCACAGAGATGAGGGACCTAGCTCCAGCCAGGGACTGAGCAGAAAGTTCCAGAAGGGGAGCTGTCTGAAAAGACACTGTGATACACATACCACCTGGGCTGGGCCTCAGTTTCCCCGGTTATAAATGGGGAGACCAGCCTGGGAGACCAGCTCTTTGGCACTGGGTGGCCCTTGGGGAGTGTGCGAGTGTGTGAATGGGTGAAAAGAGTCCACCCTGCCCATCCAGCTTCCCACCCTCTCTGTTCACTGCTGGGTGCCGAACCTGGCCTCTGTGATGGCCGAGCTGTGGGTTTGCATGCTGCTGGGTCTGAGCTGACTTGGTACATCACTGCTGCCCTCTCTGAACCTCAGTTTGCTCTTCTGTGAAATGAGGACAAATGCCCTAGGTTAGGGTGCTGTGATGATGACAAGCTGATGGCCAAGCTGGCACCTGGCAGGTGCCGAGTTGCATCTGAGTGGGTTTTTGTCCTGCTGCGGTGTCCCTGGTGAGCCTGGGCTGCTGCTACAGGCTGTCCTCTCTCCTTCCAGGGATCTCCCCGGGAAGCCTGGACAGCCTCAGCCGTGCCCTGGGCATCCTGGAGGAGCGAGTCAACAGCTCCAGGCGGAGGGTGCGCAGGCATGCTGCCGACGACGACTACAACATCGAGGTCCTGCTGGGGGTGGACGACTCTGTGGTCCAGTTCCACGGGAAGGAGCATGTGCAGAAGTACCTGCTCACCCTCATGAACATTGTGAGTGGGGGTGGGGTGGCAGGGGCAGGGCACTGGGGGTGGGGCTGGGAGGCTAGGGGTGCAGGTGGGCCAGGGCAGCTGTGCTTGCCACGGTTTCCTGGTGGAGCTGGGGGTGAGTGACATGGTCACAGGGAGGCTGTCTGGGTCTACAGGTGAGAAAAGGTGACCCTCCCATCGATTTTGTTGAACCTCAGTTTTCTCCTCTGCAAAGGGCGGGTGGAGGGGGGTGGTTCTGACTTGGCAAGGCTGTTAACATGCTAAGGCAGCTTTCCAGAAACTCGTCATTTGTGTACCAGTTTTCTTAATTTTTCATCATACCCACATGGTATAGGCTGTGTATTTTCCTGTAAATCAACTGACTTTTTTTAAAACTTAAAATTATTTACAAAGGCAACCTCGCTTTATTGTAAAGGTAACCTAGAAGTAAAATGTAAAGCGATGTTATTCAAATCCAGCTAGACAGTTCTGCCTTCTGCCGGGTCCTCACCACAGCCCACGATGTTCAAATGGGAGATTAGTGTGTGTTAGAGAGGAGGACAGACAGACCGACACCCATCCGAGGTTTCTCCTTGAGGTAGTTAGAGGAAGTGAAGATGGAAGAGAGCATCCCTTTCTCCCTGTGAGGTTGGGCTCCTTAACTGGGTGACTGGGTGCCACCTAAGCCTCCTGTGGCACCACGGGACACCTGCCCTGTCTACCCAATCGTGAGAGATTAAGCTGTTACCCCTCCCCTCATTCCAGCCCCTTCTACCCCAGGAGGTTAGGATGCTGACCTTGTAGAAAATGCAGTTCCTGCCTCTGCCTAGGGTGGTGTGGAGGTCCTGCCCCTCACTGCCTGGTGCCTCAGTTGAGCCCTGCTGGGAGAATATTAGGGGTTGGAGGGAGATGCAGTGGGCCTGCAACCAGGACACACTGTGGGCCGAGCATTGTGGGAGGAGTGGATTTGTGGAAAGAAGCCTGGGCTTGTAGGGGGCTGGAGGTGGGCAGGGAAGCCCAGGGGATAGGGGGCTCTACAGCAGCAGGGCTGCTCCCCAGCCTGTCAGTAAACTGGGTCCTCCAGAGGTCCAGCTGGTGGCGAACAGTGAGGGGGTAGGACATTTACTCCTGGCCTGGTTCTCAGCTCTGCTTCCTGGGCCATGGTGAGCCCCTGGGAATTCAACTGATCCTTGGGCAAGACCTCCCAGGGCCCTAGTGAAGAGATAGGTCAGGGGCAAGAAGGAGGGTATGAATGAGCTGGTCACTGGACCAGGAGTAAACTCCTGCCTGCCGGCCCGTCTTCCTCTCTACCTGCCTTAGGTAAGTCATTGACCCTCTGGAATGCAGCCATCTCATCTGCGAAGCAGGGCCGAAGTCTGTTTGCAGGTGTTATTTTATTTTGGAGAGTGTTGCCACACTTAATCTCACTTATTTTTGAAAAGTACTTTTAATATAATAATAGTAATAATAATACCATGATGGCTACAAATATTGAGCTCTTAATATGTGACTCTGTGTGCCAGGCTTGTGCTAGTCACTTATCATGCATTATCTTTGGAAATCTTCACACTAACTCTATAAAATTGGTAGATATAAAATCTTGTCTGCCTTCAAAATATATGTCTTTCCCCAAGTATTATACTGCCCTCCAACCCAGTGGACAAAAGGACTGGTTGTGGAATTCGAGAGTCCTGAATCCTGGTAAAGGGAAACTACTTGTTTCTTCACACCGGAATTAGCATACATCCCACAGAGTAAGAGCTCAGTCTCATAAGATGGGCCCCACTTCAAATGCTGAGCTCAACTCCCAGGTTGTCAGCTGTGCTTCTTACCAACCAGCTCCTCAAGTTCAATAATTTGCTAGAACAGTTCACAGAACTCAGGAAACCACTTTACTTACTATCATCGGTTTATTATAAATCACACAACTGAGGAACAGCTAAATGGAAGAATGCATAGGGCAAGGCATGGGGAAGGTGCATGGAGCTTCCGTGGCCCCTCTGGATGCACCACCATCCCAGCAATTCGATGTGTTCACCAACCTGGAAGCTCTCCAAACTTCATTGTTTAGGGGTTTTATGGAGGTTTTATTTTGCAGGCATGATTGGTGAAATCACTGGCCATGGGTGATTGAACTCATCTCCAGCTTTTCTCTCCTCCCTGAAAGTTGGGGGTGGGGCTGAAAGTTCCAACTCTCTAATCATACAGTTGGTTCCTCTGGCTACCAGCCCCCATCCTGAACTATCTAGGGGCCCACCAAGAATCGCTTCATTAACATAAACTCAGGTAAGGTTGAAAGGGGCACATTATGAATAACAAAAGATGCTCCTTTCACCCCCTATCATTAAGGAAATTACAAGTGTTTTAGGAGGTCTGTGCCAGGAATGAGGGGCAGAGACCAGATATATATTTCTTATTATTTTGCATCTGGGTTACCCCTGACCCCACCACTACCAGGTATGTCACTGAGAATGGGCTTCAGTCTTCTAAGCCTTGGTTTTCTCATCTTTAAAATGGGCAATAATTTTCATCTTGAGTTGTTGGTGAGGATTAAATGAGATGATGAAGGTGAACGTGCTTTACAGTCTCTAAATAAATGTGGTTTTGCTATCGTGACGATGACAGTATTTAGTTTAGCGAAAGCAGGTTTCAAATTATTCTTGACAAGTACGGCAAGGACTCTGAGTGTCTTCCTGAGGCCGGTGGATCAAATCCGCCTTTTCCCTGGTGTGGAGGGTCCCACTGTTGCACACACCTTATGCCCATGAGCTGGTAGGAGGAAGTCTAGAACTTTGTATTGGTTTTTCCAGTTAACTTCAATTTATTCATTTACACCCCCGTGATCCAACTGTACCTCAATTTTGGATAAGGGTGTGGTTTGGTTAGTTTCTTGAAAAGCATGAGAAATATAAAAATTCTTAAATTGAAACAAATTTGATCATAACAGAAAGGGATTTTAGGAGATGAATCCGAGGAGCTGAGGAAGAGTACTTGGGCCATGTCTTTTTTCCCCTGCTGCATCCTGCAAGTGGTGCTTGTTCCAGGCACAGCGGCTGGTCCTGCAGAGACAGAGAGCCTGGTGGACACTCCTGGGCTCAGGGAGACACGGCAGTGGGGGGATATCTGTACCTCAAACCTGAGCTCCCACCGTAAGAGTGCAGTGTGGTTGAGGGAGATGAGGCCCCCTGCTTGGATCCTGTGTTGCCTTGACAACACCCACTAAGGCTCAGTGTCTTCACCCAGGGTACGTGCATGCCCTGGGAAGAGTCCCTGGGGATGATCTAAGGCACATGAGCCCTTTGGTGGTCTTGGGGAGGTGGGGGATTGAGGAGGCAGGAATATTTGAGAAAAGATGAGCTTCTTTAGCAGTGCTGTCCAATAGAACTTTCTGCATTGCTAGAAATGCTCTAATTCTGCGTGTCCAATACCACAGCCACTAGCCACCCTGACCCTTGAGTGCTTGAAATGTGGCGTGTAACTGAAGAACTGAAATTTTAATTTAATTATGTTCCAATAGAATTTTTTAAAAATTTTAATTATGAAAAAATATATAAAACTTACCATCTTCACTGTTTATAAGGGAGCAGTTCAGTGACATTAAGTATACTCACATTATTATGCACCCATCTCCACCACCCATCTCCAGAACTCTCTTTATCTTACAAAACTGACACTCTATACCCGTTAAACAATAACTCCCATTGCTCCCTCTCCCCAGCCCTTGGGAAGCACCATTCTACTTTCTGCCTACTGTGCCCTTCCTCTGAACTTGACAAGCACATGGCGCTAAATGGCAGTGTGGGTGGCCCTGGGTGTGGGGGCCTTTAGACCCGGTAGATGCTGGCCCACCTGAAGCTGCAGCCAGAGCCCCATGTGACCCTACAAGGCCTGGCCAGGGTAGGGCTCCCTCTTCTTGTAAGCGCACAGCTGGTCTTGGGGCTTCCCAGCATTTGGAGCCAAAGCAGCAACGTGCAGGACAGATGTGGCAGCGGCCGGCCCAGACTGTGCTCCAAGTGAGGCATTTGGTCAGCAGTGAGGACAGCCAGGACCAGGATGGAAGTATTCCCAGCTCCCAAGGCTGGGGGCCAGCCCTGGGCGGACAGTCTGTCCCCTGAAGGAGGTCACAGAGGCCCTGGGAGGAGGGTCTGGTGGGGGTCCCGATGGCAAAAGACCTGGGGAATCTGGGCTCCAAGGAGCAGCAGAGGCCAAGGTGTCGGGCCAGGTGTCGGCGTGGCTCAGCCCTGGCAGCTCTAAGCCAGCTTGGTCTCCCTCATTGTTCAGTTATTCTGCTTGCAGGACTCCCTTTGGGGTCTCTTTGTGGCAGACCCTGGGCTGGGACGTGGGTCCTGGTGTGACACCGACATTTCAGGTTCATCAAATATCCACATGCTCCCCTCTCTTCCATTTCCCAGCCTCCCTTGCACCTCATTTTTGGGGCTGTGTGGCTAGTTTTAGCTAATGACCTGTGTGGAAGGAAATGATGTAGGTCGCCTCTTGGCCAAGGCAGTTGAGAGCCAGTGTGTCCACTCCCTCTCTCTGTCCTGCCACAGTGAACTTGGAAGTCACATGTCTCAGCAGCTGCAGCCGCAAAATGGGGCAGGGCCGCCCAACCTGCATAAGCCTGTGATGTGTGCAAGGAAACACACACCAGCCTTTACTGTATTAAGCCACTGAAATGTGGTAGATTCTCTGTTAACTGCAACACAGCCCATCCTATTCTAATACACACAGCTCCTGTCCATATAGTACGATCAGCAAATGTTTACTGGGCATCAACTCTATGTCAGCCATGAAATAGGGCCAATGTGGGGAACAAGGGGCCCAAGTAAGAGGGGAAGTTGGAGGCAAGGAAGGCCAGTCAATAGAGGGACTTGGATGTGACTCTAAGGGCAGTAGGAAATTGCTAGAGGTGCTACTTCCTTCCAACATTAATGGGCAAGACATTTATTTAATGCCCTTTTTTCATAGGAAAATGGGAATTAATCCATCCCTCTTTCCACCTCAGACTCTCGAGGGTCAGAAGG